CCCCGCCTGGCGGGCTGGCGGTGGAGTCAGCTGACGCCGGCGCTCCGGCCTCGCCTCCCCGCGCTGCGCTCCCTGCGCTCCCCCAAAGTGGCTGTAAACCGGCCGCCCACTTTCGGGGTTTGGGGGACAGGGAAAGTGATGTGCGCCTTCTAGAGTCTCGCCAAGCCGCCGCCGAAGCAGCTTCTCCGTTCCAACTTTCTACCCCCGGCACCCCCACCCTCTACTCCTTGTCCCGACCCTGCCCTCAAACCTCTCCAGAGCCACTTAGGGTGCGTGCGCTTGGGTAAGGGGGGTCATTGGCTGTCTGGGATGGCTTCCAATTTTAATGACATAGTGAAGCAAGGGTACGTGAGGATCCGGAGCAGACGACTAGGGGTAAGTATCGATCCTTTCCTCTTTCCTGTCGGCCGGTTCAACGGTATTTATCCTTCGCCAGCATCCCTGGAGGGGGGAAGGAGATTCCCGGGCAGCGCGCCGGTGAATTGCGCGGTGGCTTTCTCAGCCGAAACCCATGTCTCCGCGGCTGTCACTGTCAGGCCGGCGTCTAGGCATGTAATGGATCTATCTTTATCTCTCGGATGACTTGGCTTTCTGGTGGTAGCCGCATGTTCGGCTTCAGTAGCCACTGGAACCCATCTACTCGAAATAAATATTTCTCGGTAGCCATGGAAGTCGGAGCCGAGAAACCCGGGCGGGAGTGCCCAGCCTGCCGGATGCCGCGGGTGCTCCTCTCGCAGCCAACTTAACTTTCCAGGGGATGGATGATCGGTCGTTTGAGAAACAGGATACAGGTTCTTGGTGGGAACGAGGTCAGTGACCCTCTGACTCCAGAGAGAAATTTCTGCCCAGTGTAAGGTCTCCTCCGGCTCCCGGTCCTGGGCAGTGACCCGCCTCTGTCGCAGGTGTGGGCTGGCCTCTGCCAGGGCCAACCTCGGGTCGATACTTGAATCTGAATTTTCACTGGTCTTTAATCTGGGTGGTGAATTTCTCTTGTTGGAATACACACTGGAGACCCACTGGAAAATTATTTAGCGTAGACCGTAATACCTGGCATAGAGCAAGTGCTCCCTAAATATGTGCTGAAAGAATGAATGAAAGTGAGGGTACTTGGGGACGTGTGTTGACACAGGAGGATGGCTCTTTTCTTAAAACTCCCTCTCATGTGTCCCTTTCTCTCTTGGTTCTTCATTGGGGGGACTTCAAGAGAGAACCCACCCTTTTCCTTGTGGTTGAGTGATGGTGAAATAATTCTTCAGAGAGAAAGGGAAGATACTGGAATGATTTTTTTTTTTTTTTTTTAATTTCAAACCAGGCACCTCATTTCTCTTTGCCTTGTGTCAAGTGTTGTTGCTGTTTTCGTTGATCTGTGCATTTGGGACAGAGATGAGGTGTGAGAAGGGGGTGGGGGAGGAAAGTATACTTTAGAAATGCATGAAATAATAGTAATTAATAATAATACGACAGTAATGATGTGGAATGGCACTGTTGAGAGTGATGAACTGAATATCATTCTCTACAAATATATGTCATTTGGCATGTTTCTTTTATTTGGTCTTTGGACTTTCTTAGTGTGCCAGATACTTTTACTGAAAATCGAAAAGAAATTTTGCAGTAGTAAGCTAGGGAGAAAAGTCTGGTGAAGAGAAGCATCCCTAATTATTATTAAAACCCTTGCCTGATTCGTTTTGGTCTTTTTCTCCCCGCCCCCCTCACTGGTTACCATGTTTTAGCAATTATGTCCTGTGCTATTGTGAATGTATAAATATATAATTAGGGAGGAATGCAACAGAACAAATCATCTCCATCAGGTTAACCCAAGTTTCCTTGGTTTTCTTTTCTGCTATGCAAATGTTCTCATCTGCAAGAGCGACCAGTTTTGGAGTACTTAACTGAGTGTCTCCCATGGAAAGGGCAAAAACAATCACAGAAACTATACTTTGGATAAGCTTATAGGTTGGCTGAGTATTACAGTTTTAAGGGGAACACTGAAAAACACTATTCTAATTTAGATTCACTCCATTATGCCAACTGAGGGAATTGGTAAGACACATCCATTCTGTAGTTAGGTGACATCCGTTCCAATAGAAAGAGGACATACATTATTAATGCACAAAATATGAATTATTCATAAGGATCAGAGTTTATGCCAAATTGTAACACATGGTAATTTATTTGAAAGACTGGTTGCTATCACTTTCTAGTTTGTGGCAATTGAGATGATTTTTTTCCTGTTATTATAATTGACACAATATAGTCCTATGTGTGTGCCAACATTTATGGATTGATATTTGAAACAGAAAGAACAGAAATATAGTTTAGTTTGCATTTGTGTTATATTTTATAGTATTTTGGATGCAAGTGAACAGTATACTTCCTCAAGATTTATTCTTTATGTCTGCATTAGCCTTAAAATAGATTTCAGAATAACCTTTGAATTATGGTTATTGCTTAAGAAGAGATAAGGTCAAAAATATGGTCAAATAAATCTGGTCTTATTTGTTAACATTGATTTTATCACCAATTATTTTTAAAAACGTTCTTATGATATAATTTGCAGAGGAGACTGATTATGTAGTTGTCAGAACACAAGGCAAAGTAAAGATTTTTGGTTTTTTGTTTTTGAGTTGGAGTCTCACTCTGTCACCCAGGCTGGAGTGCAGTGGCATGCTCACGGCCACCCCAGCATTCACCTGCTGGGTTCAGGCCAAACTAAAGTTTTAATGGTGGTTGAACGTAGTTGTGAAGTATGCTACAGGGACATGGCGTAGGGACCCTCTGTCCAAAGTCAGGAATGTGGTATTAGTCGAGGCTGCATATAGCCTGGGACAGAATGCAACATGTATCTTCTAAGAACACGTGCAAGTCTCTAAAAGAGGCAAGACATTATGTCTGGCACAGAGTAGGCACTCAGAAAGTGCACGCTGAAATATGCATTGAACTATACAGTGAATGCCTGGCCTTGCAATTCATAACCTTCTTTAGGAAGTAATACGACAGCGGTTTTATTAATGGAATCCAGACAAGCGTCTGTGGATTATAATCGTGTTTGAGAGGGTTTATAATTAAATACAAAAACAACATTTTATGGTAAGCAGCTGTTCCTTGTGCCAAGGAATTCATCCTCAGACTTAGAAAAAGGAGAGAAGGAAACACATTCTGTTTTTATTATTTGTTAGTTTTGTGACCCCCTGACTGTTCTTGGCCTCAGTTTTCTAGTCTGTACAATGAGCACTATTTAATGATGTTCTTGGGAGAATTAAACATTTCTGAAATGTCATGAAAATATGGAGCATAGGGGCTGATTGTATTTTCTTTAGTATAATAAAAGATAAGTTAGGATTGGTGGAGCGATATAGGAATTACTGATTTCCTTATCTATTTATCTACAAGTATCCAAAGACATAAATGTTAATGCAACTCTCATTTTTTCACTGAATGAGGCTTTTACAAAGTGGTTTTTCGATAGGACAGGAAACATTCTGAGAACATTCCCATTCAAATGAGTCATGGATAAGTGATTATTTTTGGTTGAAATCCTAAACAGTTTAAATGATTAAGCAATCAAATATGTATAGATTTACTCTTTTCTTTAAACATCAAAAAGTTTAGTGAAATTCAACCCATATAACTCAAAATTTTCGGTGTCTTCACATCTCCATTCCCCAACCTTATCTACATTGGTTCATGGAGATCTCAAGCCATGCCCTGGGGGTACAGTATTTCTTTAGGAATGTTGACATTACTATTTGGGGGACTGGAGGCAGAAGGGGAGCAGCTGTCTATGATTATCTGACTAATCCACAAAATGCACTAAAATGTACTTCTTAGACGAGTGGCGAATCAGGTGATTTGTACATCATTAACCTGATGAATGTGTCACTTAGATGGCATTCTATAACAGTTCTCACTTCGGTCATTCTTTCCAACGGCAAGAATTCTCCAATCAATAATTGCCATGCCTTGTCCACAAAGCAACGGGCAGAGCTTAAACCCAGACCTATTTATCTATACACAATCCCTCAATTACTTGCCTTTTAAATGACATTTCTATGCTCTTGTCTACCAAGGACTTGTCAGCTTGGACCACTTCTCTGGTCTCCATTCTGGTAAATTCCCCCGTCAACCCCACATCTCCACTTGGACTTCTAACAAATGACTTAAACTTAATGCATCCAAACCCTTGATTGTGCCAACCACACCTGTTTCTCCTTGTGTCTTCTCCATCTCAGCCACTAAGGGTCCCAACATTTTGGGTAAAAAGCAATTAAGCAAGCAAGTAAGCAAACAAGCAACCTTGGTGTCATTTCTCTTTTCTCCCCTCATCTCTCACCCTCACAGCCAGTCTATCAGGAGATCTTGTGGTCTCCATCCACAGTAAAAACCCAATTAACATTTATTACTGCTCTCACTTGTATTGCTAGTGTGGTTAGAAGACAATGACACTTATGTGGTCATTTTCCCTTCTACTGCAGTTGTTTTTATCCTCAAATAACTTACTGTTTAGTTTGAAAAACAAACCTCTTATCAGTGAAATCATATATAAGCACAAATATTGTTTGGCTTCTCCATCTGGAAGCTGACTTCCCTCCTATACCAACCACTGCTGCCATCGTGGTCCAAGCCCCATCATCTTCTCCGTGTAATAGTGCAATAACTTCCTAATTTGTCTTCTGGTCTGCATCCTTGCTCCTTGCAGTCCCTTGTCAATACAACAGCCAGAGTGTTCCTTTGGAAATGTATGCCACATCATGCCATCTGGCTGCTGAAACCACCAGTGACTTGCCATATAGTGCAGAGTAAAAGACTTGCAACCAGCATGAGGCCCGATGCTGACTCAGAACCTTTTGTCTTCTGTTCTCCTTACTTGGAACGCTGTTTCCCCAGGTGACTCCTCCTGGTTCCTTCCCTCACTTCCTTCTCTCACCTCCTTCAGCCTTTCCTCAAATGCCATCTTCTCAGTAAGGCTGTTCAGAACGCCCTATTTTATTTCTTCCCCCATCTGCTGTATTTCTACTTTTTTTTCTCCCTAGACTTATCACCCCTTCACATATTAGTGTGTATATTTTACTTGTTTATTGTTTGCTTAGAAAGAGCATGTGAGGCTCCATGAGGGTTGGGATTTTTCTGTCTCTTCTAATCATGGCTGTCCCCTGGTGCCTAGAACAGTGTCAGGCACAGAGTGGGCACTTGATGAGGATGTGTGGAATGAATAAATGACTCCATGACTGTGTGGTGGTTTAAAAGCATAGGCTCTGATATGAGACTCCATTAAAATCCCAATTCAGTGACTGGTTATGTGACTTCTGGTGAGTTATTTAATATTTATAAGCCTCTGTCTTCTGTTAAAATATGGAGACTCTTACGACTCACCTAAT